GGGGGGTAAATGTTGGTTTTTCCCGGAGGAGGACTTGCGGTCAGGCTGTCATAGCTGCCTCAGGCGGTTACGCGTTTGTCAGCGTTTCCATCAGAAGTGTAGGTGTTTTCTGTAGTTTACAACTCGGTTAGAAAAATAGGCGCTGGGTTGAAATTCGGTCGACGGCCTCTTCGCCAGAAACGTCCTGCAAGCAGAGTTTCGAAATGGTTCCACTCAGATGCGGAGTGGAAACCCTTGGAGCATGCCGGTTTTTGATGTTTCTCCGAACTTCAAAACTTCGCTGCTTATGCACGTGGATGCGTGTACAGCTGTTAGTCCAAAAAAAATCCACCCCCCCTTCGTTAAATTGGGCCTGGGCTCTGCAGGCACTGCTCTTGACGCACGAACCGTTGCAGCGGAGACTCTCTGAAGACCCTCGCACTGTCCAGAAGCGCCGAGGGGCACGGCGTGTCCGCGCAGCTCTGGGTGTCGGGTGCCAGGAGGGTTCGGACGCCTCCGCGCCGCGGAGAGGAAGCCCGTGTTAAAACGAAGGTGGAACACAGTGACTTTGCTCTGTGGGATATATTCCCCCCCCTGCACCCGTGTCTGTTCAGTTGCTGCCGCTGAGATAGGGAAGAAGCACAGGATTTCAGAGGTTTCGTTTCTGTACCTCTGTATGTACACGTATCTGGGTCCTGCGAAACGTGCCTGCCACCCAGTGGATGTACCTATAGCTATAGGCTCTATAATATTCTATACATTTACGACCTCTCCGCCCTACCCGGTTGGTAAGTCCGCAAAGCGCTGAGGAGCTGTCGAAACGCCAGGCTGGTCTGGCCGCGCTGGACCTGTGCGCGATGATGGTGTCTGTCGTGACGTGAGCCGCCGCTGCCCTTCCCGGGCGATGAACCAGAGGCACATCCACCGAGGGGTAGCGGGGAGAAGGGGCGATGTGGGCGAGGCGGGCGATTTGCACAGAGAGGGAGAGGCAGTTTCACGCCCAAGGCGGCTGGAAAATTGGATTTTGCAGCCCCTGCCTTTCCCTTGGGGTTTCCACGTAAACATAAAGGTTTTCGCACATGGGCTGTTGTTTTTTCCGGGTGCCTGGCCTGAGCCTCTGGGATCTGCTGTGCAGTTTTGGTAAACTTGTCCATCTGGGACAAAAGTCAACGGCTGTTCGCCCTCGACGTATAGAAGATGTTTTGTAGGTCTGAGCGTGTTAGAAGTACAAGTCTTGAGTGTCAGAATTGCTCACTCAGTGTCCGCAGCTTTTTGCTTTAATCTTTTCATATCTTAGTTTCCCATCTTTGAAAAAACATGAATGACGGTATCCTGTATCTTACAGGCTACCACAGTGACATGAGACGTAAAAGAACCAGGGAGAAAAGAAATAATTCCCTCTCTGCTTTGAAAGCGTGTAGTGATGCTCTAGAGAACAAGGGCAAAAAGAGGATTTTTTGTGTTAGTTATAGCAAAGCTTCTGTGGGGAAAAAAATGTGACCAGGTCAGTTGCAATTAGAGGTTGACCTCCGTGCATATAAGAACTAGGAGATGGTTTTAATTACTGTAGGCCACTTAGTTCTAAGAATTCCTAAATTCTGACGTGTTAATCACATTTTTAATACTGCTTTCTATGTGTAATTTCCTAGGTTTTGTTTCCCTTAGAAAAAAAGCCAAAAAGCAGACAGGCAGCCTAGGGTAGCATACTCGTGTCGCCATGCTTCATGGGCTGGATTCCTGATGTAATGCCAGGGACTCTGCTGTTGGAGCTCTCTGTTGAGGACAACCGGTGGTGGTAGGTTGTGGCTGTGGTCTGTGTTGCTGCAAAGACCCGTGGGATGGGGCAGGGAAGGGGCAAGGAGAAGCAGGACTCCTGCTCGTGTCCCCAGTACCTGGTGCCGTCGTGGCCTCTGCCAGCCACTACGTGGAAAGCCTGGAGCCTGCTGCCGTTCCCTGGCGTGGAGCATGGTTATTGGAGCTGCAGCCCTGTCCTGCACGGGGGCTGGTGGAGAAGCTGCTTATCGCTGTGAGGATGGCCTGTGTTGTCTGATCAGCATGAGGAGCTGAGAAGCACGTGGACAGGGCCCAGCAAATACCCACTGAAAATGCACAGAGCGCAGTTCGTCTTTTGTTTGACCAAATGCGGGTGGATTTTTCATGGGGGCAGCAAAAGGGACACCTCTAATATACTGGCTCCGGCCCTCATGTCGGATTTCAGATCTGTCACCAAGAGCTGGAAGGGAGCTGTAGCCTTCCAAGTTTGCCAGAGATTTGCTGTTAACATCGAAAGATACCATTTTCCCTGGTCTTGTTCTGAAAACAGCTGAAGTGTTTTGGCGGAGTTCTTCTAGTCGCAGTCTGTCTCTTTCTGCATGCCTCGCTCAGAGGCAACCTCTGCAACACATGGAACAGAGTTTAGCCTGAGGCAGACATTCAACTTGGAAAATTTCAACCCAAATAGTCAAAGTCTGGCCAAGTTACAAGCAGCTGGAGGCAGCGTCTTGCGTTGCAAGTGGTCAGCAACCACCTAATCGACGGTGCTACAAGCTTCATCAATACTGCATGTTTATGTGCATGGAAATACACTGTGGAATTGTACTGTTAATTAGTAGGTTACCTGGTCAACTAACTGGCAGCCAGTTGATTCTGATTTCTTTTTAATAGAGAACCAAACCTAAAGCTCCTTGGTTAACTGTATGAAAGTTTTTCCTTACTCACATTATTCATTGTTGTTTTTCTGGCTTAAAAATGGAAAACTTTAAAATGGAGCCTCTGAAATAAATGACAAGCCAGGGCCTACTCCTTCTGAATCTTTCAGAATGACTTAACAGTTGTTGAAGAACAATTTACAGTAGAACTAGAGAAAATTGCTTCCCAGCGTTTTGAATTCTAAAAAAACCTGAGTCTCCCGAATTCCTCAGCTATTTATCAGCTGTTGGATTGTAGCAGACTCACCCTGTATTGTGTCCCTGATGTATCCATTAACTCTTCAGTGAGGTGTGAGTTTAAAGCAATTGTGCCATGGAGTGACTGTGGAATGAGTACCACAAACACTGGCAGAGTTGCTTCATAAATCCTTCTTAGTTTAGAGAGGAACTTAGGCGTGCCTTCCTTCTCAGGGAGCGCAGCTGTTTCTTGCGGGGTCCCCCGGGGGCTGGTGTAAGGCTGTGTCATATCATCATATTCACAGTTTTTGTGATGATATCTCATCGTTACCGACAGACGACGTGCAGGTTTGTGCGCGTGTGGCACAAGTTCCTAGTACGGGGTACTCAAAAGCATTTTTTTAAATGGTCAGCATCCAGCAGAAGGCACTTTTCGTGCAGCCGCATACAAAGGAACCAGAAATGCAATCACACCAGCAGAATAGGAGTCTGTCTTCAAACCGGTAGTTTGGAAGAAGGCTTAAGAATTTGTGTGGAGAACCATCTCAACAGGAGTTTTCATTGTAATGCTGTGACTGAAGTGTGGTCTTTGGCTGTCTAGCAATATAAATATTGCACGGAAATAGGAAAGTACGTGGCATTAGTAAGATCATGGGAATTTCGTGTCTGGTTCTGCTGCTCGCACATGAGGAAGGATGTGAAATTTCAGTAAGAGCACAGTGACAAAAGTGATCCGGGGTTTGGAAACCAAGCTTCACAATGCAGGGTGTACAGCAGAGTTTATACAGCTCGGAAGGGACTGAGAGGGGAAATGATGCCTGTATATATCGTTCATATGTGTAAGGAAGATACGTGATATTTACTTGGCCCTACTGAGACACCCAGTGTCTGGGAGATGAAGTTAGGTACATTGTACCTTGAAATATTAAGTAGCAGCAAGGGTGGTAAAGCATTGTAATGGATTTACTGTTGCTGGGAGTGTTTAAAGTGAGATGGAGTTTCCTTCTCAAAGATGTGCTTTGGCTCGGTTCTGTGGCGGACATTCCCGGTGCGTGTAGAAGGGGGAGGGACTGTCCTCTGTTCACCTGCCTTCTTCCCTACATTGAGAAAACAAGATTATTAGCAGTGCTTTCCGTGTATTGTAGCACATGTTGCTACCTTGGACAAGATTAGAACAAAATGTCATGCTTCAGAACTTGGCTGGTTTTCTCTTGGATCAGGAGGTCCGTTTTTTCTTGGTGCCTAGTTTGACTTGTGGGATTATGATTAATTACTGTGTACTTTCCTCCAGAGCAGCAACATCTGGTGACAGCTGGAGACGGGATAATTGGGTACTCGCCATCCTCACTTACTGCTCTCTGTCAGTAGAGTCCCCTCATATTCCCAGGTTGGTGTACCGCCTTTCCTTCCTCGGGATACCAGCAGCCGTATTCGGGGACGAAGAAATTTCCCCTGCTGTTAGGTAGGCAAGGGTGTCTCTTCCCGTTCAGGAGTCCGCTGCTGAGGGCTCGTAGGACCTGCAAGCCCCCTTACCACCTCTCTCTCCTTCGGGCATGCCTCTCCTGCCGCCAGACCTCCTGCTGTAAGCAGACACTGGAGACGGGTACGGGGGGACGCGTGTGTGTGGCTTGGCAGCGTAGCCCCCCCGGCAGTCGCTAAAACAGCAGAAGTTATGGCGGTGAAATCATTTCGTAACCTGAAACACATGACTGACTGCTGGAATCAAGTCGAAGCACTACCTGCAGCGTTCCTTTTCAGGCACCTTCACGATAAAGCTGAAGGTTTAATTTGGCCTGGGAATTGCACTTCAGACTAGATAGTTACAAGATGATGTTTTGTAATTCCATAGTTTGTTCTTTTTAATGTAACAGGCAGACACGTTTTTTCCTCTGGCATCTGAACTAGAATATACTTGAAGTGTTAAAGTATTTCTTTCTGTAGAAAAACTATTTTTTTGCACCTACCCTAGGGTACATGGTACAGAAAAGAATGCCAAGGTCTGATGTTCAATATTTCACACAGTGGTTTTGATTTGGGCTTTTTCATTCGCACTTCAAAATATGCTGTGAATGTTTTAAGGTAACAAATTGCATTTTCTGTATAGGATGGCATTACTGGAAGTTCTCCTGTTGAGAAGAACTGAAACTTGAGTAGCCTAAGTTCTTGTAAATCAGTATCTCTAGACTTCTTGAAAACGTGTGTACAAGTATTTCCGCTTACTTGGAAATACTTAAGCACTGAAGTACTCTTCTCAAATATGATTTCTAAAAATCCTTTTCTCAGCTGCCTCAGTGAGATGTGCGTGTTTGAGAAAATAATGACAGTACAACCTTCTAGGGTTTGGCACATATGCCTATTGCCACATTCATTGGAATTAATGATAATGCACTATGATTTCTGGGAGATACAGGATCCAACTCACTAGTAAAGTACAAATCATATTTGGTGTTTTCAGTTTTTAAGAGCTCTAGTGGGGTTATTTAATAAATTTCTTCTCAGAAAATGGCAAAATCAAAGAATCGACAGTAAATTTTGAATTCTATTTTAATGTTCCAGTAGTTGGATAAAACATGAGTTGATATAGAGATGATAATGACTATTGCCACATGGTGTCTGTTTTGAAAGTGCAGTAATGGGTTGTAGTTTGCCACCTCGTGACGTCTTACTGTATTTGTAATACTTAGTGAGTTTTATGCCCTTGCTGGCTGTGAAGTGAAACAGTATTTTAGGCTGAGATTAAAGTATACAGAATTGTTAAGTGACCTATGTCCATCTGGGGGTCATGTCGAATTTGAACATAATAATATTAAGTAGCTGAGCTATGTAACTGACTGTTTGTATGCCTAACTGCACAAACTGTGTGCGTGTGGGATAATTGTACGTCCAGACAACTGAATTAACAAAAGCTAGAAATAGCAGTAGGACTGAGTTCTCTGCTAGATTTGGTTTTCTCCCCTCACTGGTGCCAAATGTGACTATAATCGAGATGGTCAAGTTAGGTGGTTTTATTGAATGTGTTATTCTGTATCTGCGTAACTTCCCGTGCAGTCCCTAGTCCAGCACATCTGTAGCCAGTGAAGATGTAATTTTGCCTGCTCCCCAGAGTTAATTTCCTTCTTTTATTTTTGTATGTGTACAAAAATGTTTTTTTTTTCTTGTTAAAATCTACTATTTCAGATGCACCCGTGTGCTCTAGGCAGTGTGATATTCCTGTCTCTTTCCTCTTTTAATACAATAATGACATTAAGCAGTTAGAGTGTCTGAAGTAC